TCTATTCTTTGTTAACATTTTATTTTTTGAAAGTTTAGGTTCCATTTCAACCTCTCGTTTTGTGAGATATTCATTATTGTTTTCTTGACGATAATATTTTATAATTTGCCTTTAATAAGTTATTAAGCCTTTCATTCTCCAAGATCACCAATGAGAATATATCGAAGCTTATTAGCCACATCATTAATCGTTGACAGAGAAAAATTTAGACGTTTCCAAATGAAAGCTAGAACCAGACAATTGGAATGTGTACTTGAGCGACGAACTGGTAAAACAAGAATACATATATATACATATATAACTGCTTATCTAGATAAGCTCTATCTGGCTTTTAAACGATTCTAAATTCTTTTATGTCTGTATAAATTTGGCATAGAATAATTGTGAAACGTCAACTGAATTAAACTATCTCTACTTTATGATCATTGATATTTGCATATTGTTTAATAATCAAGTAGTTTGCTATCTATAATTACATTAATTTTTATTTACTGAAATATTATTATTATACTTGACCTCAATTATTAATAAAACCTTGTGAAGAAGCATGTTAGACAAATACTTTTTGTGAAGTTATCTAATAGATAACATAACTCACTAATATAAAAAACAATTTAATGTTAGTTATATTTCAAGGGGTTTCAATTTCTGTAATTTAAAGGAGCAGAATAATGTTAAAGCAAAAATATGACTTATTCATTTTCAAATTGTTTCAATAAGTAAGGTTATTATATACGATTCACCATTCATTTAGGTTTGGTGACAGTAGATTATTTATTACAGTACAGTTGTAATATATGTTACTTGAACATTGGTATTTAACTAATGAGCAATGAAAGCATAAAAATAGTCATATAAACTTTTAAATGGAAATCTTTAATTTTGACTTCAAATTTTGTACATGAACGAATCAATCTTCTCAATGAGATTATTACTCTCAAACTGTTATTATCTTTAGAATTCTAAATTAGTTCTGTAACTTTACTATGTATTCAAAAAACTATCAATGATTTATTTTCTTTAGCCATTGTAATCAATACTAAGCGGTTAGTTGCAAGTGAGTATTAAATAATAAAATGTTTTATTGAGATCACGAACCGACTAAAGTTGGCCTAACGTTGATCAGTTCACGATCTCAATAAAAACTCAACGATCTTCACAACTCTATACTGATAACAATTTGCTTGTTACGCGATAACAATTACTATCATATATTTAGTCTGTGATAGCTACTTTAGATAAAGAATGACTCAGAATAATGTCCCTATGGAATTAAGTAATATGCTTTGCCCAATAAAACAGAGTGAACTTCCTCAATGTTTCAGGCTTATCTTATTGATGAATGCAAATAAATGAAGTAAAATTATGTCTTGAGATTTCCGCTGGTCACATTTAAGACAATAAATTAAAAACCGAAATATAGAAATTAAATTTTATAAACAAAAGTTTTTACGCTTTTCAGAATCAAACAACTACTTTTTTGATGAATATAAAAGCAGACATAATCAAAATGACCAAGTTTGGAATTTCTTTCATATCATTTCATCTTAAGATTTTCTAGTAATAACATAATACAAACCAATCAATGGGAAAATGTTCTCAATCAACTACATAAAATATCTCTTTGTTCTGACATATTAATCTAAAGTGTTAAAGTAGGATCATGTGAAAAATAGTTACGTTTCCTGAAATAAATTCTTATATTTTTACGTTTTACATCAATAATTCGAAAATAGTTAAATGCAAAATCAATGTAACCTTATAAAATAAAGAAGATATTCACAAACAGACAATGAATTCACAAAAACAAAGGCAATCGAAAAAGAATTTTTATGACAACAGCTCATCATCCATATTATTAAGTCAGTAATTGTTTGTGAAAATATTGCGTAGTAAATTTACTTCATAAGCCTGTCTATTTAAACATTATCAAAGATGTGAAAACAGTCACGTTTAAATGAACAATAACCATCAATCAACAATGGTTTACTTAAATAACAATAATAAGTATTGTACAAAGCGTTGTTTTATTCTATCAAGTTTCTCAAGTGAAAGTGTCTTGTCTATTTTTATCTGAAGCATTCTTTTTAGTTTACTACACACTAAATGTCATAATTTTGTTCTTTTCGCATACTTTTGTCTTAAAATTTCACTGTGCGAAATTTATGTCTCTTCATTCAACCAATTTTTTCAGTTGGATTCAGTTTATTTTTCTGAATTAGGCGTAATCGTAATAAGAAATATTTTTACTAAAAGCGTAAGTTGATTCCCATTTGAATGATACATACATTAAGCTAGTAGTCTAGTCAAGAGGTTATAATTAGTTGAAATGATTGTACACCATGAGCTTTCATTATAACTACACTCAGTAGACGTACTTGATTTTTCAATAATACCTCTATTTCTATTAACCTTGTTCAGTCTATGCAGTGACAGCTAATGTTAATGCATTTATGACCTAGATATTTTCCATTTTGAAATGCGATTTCTCACACACGTTCTTGTGTCCAACAAGGATTTATATTCTTAGCCCCATTATTAAAGCTGACTGCTAGTACACTGGTGACATTTAAATAGGTGACATCAGGAACAAAACTTCAGAAGTACCATTTTAATCCGATGTCGGATTATAGCCAATAATTTCATTACCCACCTTTTTATTTATTGATGTTTTTTGGCATACTTAACAAACTAGATCCATTACACGAAGCTCTATGACACAAACTTTTATTTGTTAAGATAAAAAATATAGCAAAAATGTATTCAACACAGCTGTTACCTCAACAGTTGTAGATATCAGATTAAGCGTAAAAGGTATTTGCTTAAACCTTACATATTTTTTAATTAAATTTTTAGACTTGCAAATGTCGGTTTTTTCTTTGTTTCAGCTAAGCACACCTAAACATCTTGATAGAAAATTACAGTAGCTAATTATGGCTATACTCCAAAGAAACAAAAAACAACATCAGCTAAGAATAATTTAATGATAACATCTAATCTTATCGACCACCCGCACTTCGTAAACGGCATTTGAGTAAATATTGTCAATTAAGTTTCATAAACTGTTGGTGTTTACGGACATCAAATGCTAAGCATGTCTTTATTATGTAACTTAATATTTTTATAGTTTTTAGAAAAAAAGTTGACTTGTGTATCCTATTTGTGAAATGTAGTTGTGGCGTTTATCTAACAGTTGTAACTACACTATCCTCATTAGCGTAAAGCGCATACGAACATTTTAGTGCTTAGTAGTAAAAGTTTCTAGAGTAACACCTTAACAGCATAAATTTGTATTAATAACTAGTTCTAAAAACCAGTGTTTTGTTTGTAACTTAAACTAGAATTTTTGTTTCTGGAACTGGGAAAACAGATATTAAATTATTTAGCTTGGAAATTTAGGTTAAAATATTTTTACAGAGTTAGCACTTCACGCTTAATAGACTCAGTTCGTCTGACTGTACAAGTCACCAAACAACAACCCATTTAATCTTCCTGTTTGCACGTTGAAAGCGTTAATCCTGATAATATATTATTCACTATTTACTGACAAATTCTTAAAAGTTGCAGAAGAGAAGAATTTCTTTGTTCTAAATTCTTGATTCCAGCTTAAGCTTCAGACTTCAAAATAAATGCGACCATCATTTGACAAATGGCTTGTGGTTATATCAATACTTCTAGTCAAGTCGTTTTAAATCTAGTGCAAATTCATTCTGACACTTCAAGCCATGGATTATTGCACACTTAAACCCCTGTTTTCTAATGATAAGTATTACACAAGATGAAGGTAGTAAACGCTGTTTATATTAATTATATGCATAGCATAGTATCTCACTGATCATTTGGCTTAAAAATTTAAAAGTAATCTGGGGTTGCTGATGACCATCGAATAGCTTATGCAAAGTCTGAATTTCTGATCTCTATAGAGTTTTGTTTTCTTTATACCTCTATTTTTGCATTTTTATTCAAACCACTAAAATGAACGTGGATATAGATTTTGACTAACTAATGATAAAATACTGTGGCTCGTCTGGTTTTCAATATATAAATTTTCAAACTTCATATCAAAAGTACTTCATAAATGGTTCCGAATTGAAATGACTTGGTCAGTTAGCAGATGAAAAATAATCATACACAGAAATACTGCCGAACAAATCTCAAAGTTTGTATTCAAAATCATGACTGACTTTAGCTATACCAAGGGGCGATGAGTAGCTGTTTTGTCCTATTACAAGAGTCCTCAATAATGTGAATTCACAGGCTAGAGAGGAACCAAACCTAACATATTTAGCTCTCATAACTCCCCTATACACTTAGACAGCTGAGATGAAGTTCAACGCTTTACACTTCTACCTCCTGTCAGTCTGCTATGTTATGTAATTATTAACTGCCAAAGGCGGTAGCTGTCCTACATTCTACAAATATTCGAAAAAGTGCTTCTAACTAGGAGACATTATATACCATGATCAAGTGCACAATCAGAGACTTATTAAAGCGAAGAATAAGACGAATATTTTATTAATTTTATTGAAACCATGAAACAACCTAGGTTAAACACGCACTGAAAACTAGCAAGCTAGGGCCAGATGTTTTGCTTTAGTATGAGACACTTCGACAGTGCACATCTATGACTCCACCCTGAATCAAACCTGGGGCTCTTAGTTCTTGAGGTAAACCTAAAGTTTAAAACCCTATGACCTCATCCAGTTGTGGATATATCTATCATCAATCAACCCGAGACACTTATTAGTCGTGTTTCATTGTATTTGATGAGTACGTGCTTTACACCCGATAGGGATGAACTTCATTTACCATAGATTCTTACTCAAATTTCGGAACTTTAATCTCAAACCCAGTCATTATTACTGGAAAGTAAAAAACAAATTCGTTTAGAACTTCCTAAACACCGTATTGTGTGGTAAAATGTTCTATTTTTTAATTATGAAATACATTTTTCCCTTTACTACAGTTACCGTCTTTTTTATCCCACTTTTGTTAACTAGTCGAAGTTGCAGTCAAGGTTATTGACAGAACTAAATTTGATGAGAAAACTCGACGCTTACTTTCGCAAGAACTAACAAACATGGAACGTTTACATCATCCACACATAATTCGTGCATATGAAGCACATGAGGTATTACAACGTTGGCATTTAGTTATGGAATATGCGCCTAAAGGTGAACTTAATTCATATTTAAAACGATCTGGTCGATTGGATGAAAAAACATCAAAAAATTATTCTTCACAAATACTTTCAGCTCTTGATCACTTAGTAAGTTATTTAACTGATATATATATGAAAAGAATAAGATAATGTTTTATTAACTGGTCAATAGAAACAGCATAACTTAAATATTCAAATTATTTAATTGCAAATGTTAGGCTAGAACCTCAGTCATAGTTCTGTCCAAAGCCACAAGAAATCTGTATCTATTTATTTTACCCATCAAAACTTTAAAAAAATTCATAGAACTTTATTCCTCGTTTTGTTGAAAATCATGGTTACCTCACAAAAATGACCAAACATTAAAATTCTCAACGTGAATCATCTCTCCACTTTTGAATTTTTGTACACGTTCCATATTTATATCTTTGTTTAATCAGAATTGTTGAATTATTAGTTTGTTGATATTATTAATATTAATAGCTCTTTATAACTCACCAGACTTATTCACATGAATTTTCAAGTGTTTCTAACTCCAAATTATCACTTAGTAAAAATTTAATATGCAGATATCTGTACCATGAATTTCAACATCCTTGAGCTGATTTAATAGGAAATCTATTTCAGTACTTTGAGTATTCAGCCGTTGGATGCCACGTTGATGGTCTAGAGACTAGTCATTCGAGCGCAAGACTAATGGTAGTAGGTTCTTTTTTAGGATTAGGGTTTGTAGATGTTCACCGCTAATGAATCCTGTACTAGAACGAAAAGGACGTTCACACCTTCCAGATGGTGATCTAGCTAATATTAGTTCGTTATTTAAATCATTTGTTGTATAACCGATTTCCGTTGACTCTTCAACTACAAATTTTAAATAACATTATGAGATGAATGAAAGTTTAGAAGAGTCATTTAGGTAGTTGAGGTTGATCAACTAAAATCAGTGAACGTGGTTTTCTTGGGAATTTACACTGGTCCACAAAGTGTGCCTTCATTCGTGAAGAATATTGACTTTAAATTATTTCAGTTTATAGTTGTTTAAATCAAACGCAATCATATTGCTTAGCACATTTAGTTTCTTTTTCATAAGTCATTTGGTATCACCAAGTTCTAATCAAGTTTATTTGAGTTTGTATCATATATCTGTTAAAATAAAAATAAATCTTGGAACCATTTGTTTAACAAGAATGTTCAGTCTTATTCTATAGAATGTCTTCACAGTTGAAGCAAACGTAACTGTCAGAATACTAAAATATTTCCAAACATTCCTGTTGTATTATGGAATGGCTTTTAAATATTACAGCCTCTTAACAATAATAATCGAAGACAACGTCGTACACTAATTTGACACTCATATTTATGTATTGATAAAAAGGTTTGTAGATTAGGTGAGTGTTTGTGATAATGCTGAGACCTCCAAGCTGAATGATCGAATCCCATAGCTTCTGTTTTTATTCTGGACATAATCGGGACCCAATGCCATTCAACTTGTATTTGTTCATAGGGGCGAAAAAAACTTCTTAGTTAACCTTCTCAGCCAAAAACACTACTAAAAATGTATTTTTGTTAAGTACCATCAATAGGTCAGCTGTACCAATTGCCATCTAATCAGACGTTTGAATTATTACCCTATTGTCAGTATTTGTTTAAAAAACTGAGGTCATTATCCACGAAAAATGTAGTATTTTTCTTCCCACCAGCAATTGTAACTCGATTGAAAGGGAATTGACATTCGTTATTAAGGGTTACGTCTGTTCTACTGTTAACAAACTACATTTTACTCTAACACTTTACTAATAATTTTCTAGTTGACGTCTAGTTTCGAAGATTTATCTTGAGAGACGAAGAATTAGGAAGAAACTGAGCTAAGTAAGAAGAAACGTCACTTTTAGTCATTCATTCGGTACAAACTTTACCGAGTAATGTGAGCAACGCTGATAAATAACTAGAGAATTTAACAATTTTTAGTCATGAGGCCACAAAATATCCAGATTTAATAGAAAATCAGATTATCAATTTCATTTTTAGTTTCGATTTAGTACCCAGACTTAAAAAAGGAACATATACTTGAACAACAAGTTGAGCTAAACATGCCAATATTGCAATATAATTTACTCGCAAATTAATAAAGGCAGGCAGCTTCAAAAGGATATTAATTTATGATCTAGTCACATTAATAATAATATTTTCACGTATTACCGTTTTAAAATAGGACTTTTAAAAGCCTAAAAGTTTACAAATATGGAATAGATTGAAACAACAGTCGATATAACTTGTATTGTGAAAAACTAACATTTATAATCAACCAAATATTTTGAAAGCAGTATTTTTTACCCAGTTTTTATTATGCAAATACCTACAACTGAACAAGGTTTTTTCTTATTATCTTCATTTAAGTACTCCGTATAAGCTACACATCATAGTTTTATGTTTCAATTTCAGCATATTTCCTTATTGCTTCTTAATAACTATTAAACTAGTTCATAAATTAAACTGTCAATCATATATATATACATAAAGTTATACAAGCAATGTTCACCATTGTGACTTAATAAAATTACAATAATTCTAACTTTACTGATTATTTAAGTGTATTTAAATGTTAAGATGTAGATGATTTGTACACTTAATGAGTCTTCCACATAGTATTTGAAAATAATTGGAAATACTAATTAACTTAATCTTTTTATAGAATTGGTGTTTAGATTGAAATTCATATTCCTTTAGCCATTTAAAGGTGATACGTTTGATGGATTTTTGTTCTCTGCGCTCAGAGAACAAAAATCCATCAAAATCATCCACCTGAGCGACAAATCTTCTTCATCATCTCAAAGGTGATAATTAAATAATAATATTTTTAATGTATCATAAAATGATTATGTATTTTGTATTTTTTGTCTGTTGACTACTTACAAGATAATACGAGTGCATACATAATTTCATACAATTTTTCCCACTTATAAATTTGAATAAAAATCAAGAACAGTAAATGTAGCAGGATAACATGAATTCATCATATTTCCTAGTTTCTCGTCAACTGCTTACGACTTAAACATAATAATATTAATCTTCAAACATCAGTATGTATACTTTATATCATAATATATGGAAGGGTTCTGATCAGTAAAGATTAATGAAAAGAGCAGTAAGTACGAAAGAACGATAAGAAATATTCATATGTTAATTGGCATGGGGTAAGCAACCCCATCCAAGAGAAAACAACCATTCTAAAAAATCCAAAAAGAATAAACAAATTAAATCATTTAAACACTGTCCTCCGAGTTGAAGGTAGAGTTATGACGCCTCACGGTGAAAGCCATGATTCTTTGGAATTCACGAGGCCGATATCCCTTCTAACAACCAGAGCAACAATTAATATAGATACGTGGAATATTCGGACAATATGGGAGACCGGAAGAACCGGTCAAATAACTGCGAGAATGAAGAGATACAACTTGACGGTGCTCGGAATAAATAATACCCATTGGACCAAAGTTGGACAGAAAATGATAGATTCGGGAGAAATGCTGCTTTACTTTGGTCACGAGAAAGAGAGTGCTCCACACACTCAGAGTTGTTTTGATGCTTATAGGACGAAAATGTCATGAACCCAAGATCATCAAGGCATCTTTCAAAACAAAGAAGGAGGGAGTCATAATGAATGCTATTCAACGTTATGCACCCACCAATGATAGCAACGATAATGATAAAGATCAGTTTTACAAAAGGTTTCAAATTCATAGTGAGGTGCACAGGAAACGACCTGACCATCCTGATAATAGACCTAGACGCCAAAGTAGGGATAGATAACGCCAGGTATGAAGATATCGTGAGACAACATGGACTAACTGGGAAGAGAGAACGTGAATGATGACAGATTTGTAAATTTATGTGCACTCAACAAAATGGTTGTTGGCGGCACAATACTCCCCTACGAACGCATACACATAACTACATGGATCTCATCGAATCACACTACACAGAACCAGATCGATCATATTTGCGCCACTAAAACATTCAAATAGTCAATGCAAGCCGTGTTGGCCAGGAGAGGAGTTGACATAGCCTTAGATCACCACTAGTTGATGGTTGCCAAGATAAAACTGAAGCTAAAAAACACTGGAAAACTGGAGAAACAGCATTACAAAGACTCAATACAGTTTTGTTTCGACATACTAACAAACTCAACAACAGATTACAAGCCTTACACGATCTACTCGAAGAAGATGAAACTACTATTGAAGACAATTGGAAAGTGATCAAAGAAACACTAACTCCAACGTGTTAGGAGGCTCTGAGCTGCAACCAGCATCATAATAAGAAGTGAATCTCTATGGAAACCCTGGACAGAATCTAAAACAGGAAGAACAAAACGACAGCAATCAACAACATTCGAACAAGGGAAGAGAAAGACAAGGTACAAGCTGAATACACAGACGCAAACAATCAAGTGAAGAAGAGCATTAGAACTGACAAGTAGAAATATGTGAAAGATCTAGCAACAACAGTGGAAGAAGCTGCAACAGAAAGAAGTATCAAACAACTATGTGACACAACGAAAAAACTGACAGGAAACGTAGTCAACCAGAGAGACCGATCAAGGACAAACAAGGCAAGCTATCCACTAAGATTCAAACATATCAGGACAGGGAAAGCAGATAGACCTGACAATATACCAGCTGAAGCACTGAAGTCAGACATAGAAGCAACTGCAAACATGTTACAAGTCCTATACATGAAGACTTGGAAGGAGGAACAAGTCCCGACGAATTGGAGAGAAGGATACGTCATCAAGATACCAAAGAAAGGAGATCTAAGCAAATGTAAAAACTACAGAGGTATCACACTACTATGGGTACCAGGAAAAGTTTTCTAAAGAGTATGGCTGAACTGGATGAAAGATTCAGTGGACACCGCACTTCGAGATCAACAGACCGAATTCCTTAAGGATCGGTTGTGCACAGACCGAATCACGACATTATGGATCATTGTAGAACAATCAATTAAATGAAACTCGTCACTATACATCAAATTCCTTGACTATGAGAAGGCGTTTGACAACGTGGACAGCTCGGATGTAACTAGACGATTTGGACTTCTCAGATGAC